ACAGTATGTAAGTTACTCGCCTGTATTTGTACAGTATGTAAGTTACTCACCTGTGTTTGTAGAGTATGTAAGTTACTCACCTGTGTTTGTACAGTATGTAAGTTACTTACCTGTGTTTGTACAGTATGTAAGTTAATCACGTGTTAGTAGAGTATGTAAGTTACTCACCTGTGTTTGTACAGTATGTAAGTTACTCACCTGTGTTTGTACAGTATGTAAGTTACTCACCTGTGTTTGTACAGTATGTAAGTTACTCACTTGTGTTTGTACAGTATGTAAGTTACTCACCTGTGTTTGTACAGTATGTAAGCTACTCACTTGTGTTTGTACAGTATGTAAGTTACTCACCTGTGTTTGTACATCATGTAAGTTCTCCTACCTGTGACCTCTTGATTTTCTGTACACTGACGTAATGTAAAGCAGCCAATAACAGACAAGATGTATCCAATCACGTGATCTGCGGATCTTTGGCTGTCGTCATAGTTACTGAAGCTAGTGAATGGTTTGGTGATGAGAGAGACACCTGCCAAGGTGATGACGACAGTTAGGACATTAAACAATTCGATACGACGTTTCAGAAAGAAACGTTCTAAAATGATGACGACAGCTGGGGCGCTGAACACGATTGTCATACAATCTACTAAAGGAATCTGGCGATGAGCGTAGTAACTTGAATTTGTACCAATTACACGAGTGACGATGTGGATAATTAGATACTTCAGTTTGCTGATAGCTCCCAAAACTGGTCCAGGGGTTTGAATAATCATAACAGAGAAAACAGCTGTTTGAAACAGGTTCGAATAAAGAGCAGTTGTAGAGGGTTCATACAGGGTAAAAGTCTGGCAGACATGCCACACGTGACGAAACAAGTCCTAGTGCCTAGTCCTGGGCAGCGGAGAAACTTTCTCCAGCATATCTTTACTTGCCAGAGAAGGTGTGAACTTTAATGTTGTTCCACAAGTCTCTCTCGTTCTTGTAGTTTGGATCTCCATACGTGAAATATAGAGATAACAATATAAATATGTGAACTGATATATTAGATTTGACCTTTCAATAAAAACATTATGTTTTAGATAAATGTCACGAGTTTACTATAACTTGGGAAGATGAAGTTTGATACAATGGTAATACTCTAAATATATACACCTGGAAAAAAGTTAAGCACCCCCAAATATTTTTCAGGATTGCTTATTGAAAATAAGGTTTAATTTTCATGATGATGAGCAATGTTCATAATTTCAAACATAATTAAAAGGATGT